CCCCAAAACCCCAAAACCCCAAAACCCCAAAACCCCACCTTTCCCAAGCTGAGTTGAAAATTACTGAAATTTGATATAGCGAATTAAATTTTCTAATCATTATTGTTATAAAGCAAATCTATTTTCCGGGCGCTTAAACTTCACAGCCCCTAAACATGTATCCATTAGCACTAAGAAGACATATCTAGGACCTACACAACCCTCAAAATCCGACCTTCCCAAGCTCTAAAGCTCTCTCTGCCTCTAAAATTCCTAATAAACCACCACCTCAAATTCTATGCATGCCTCTACCAACAACTCTCTAATCTCTACAATACAACATTGGAATAACACCTGAATAAAATGGAGAAAAGATCGATCATGGCCTCACATTGTAACTAAAGAAGTTGGCCTTAAACTGTGACTCTCTTCATTCATAATGATAGTAATGGTATCAGAGATATAAACTTCTATGCAGGCCTATGTTTTTCCATGAGATTCCGATACTTCATTGGGTTAGAGTTCGTTTGAAATCTTAATAGAGAAGGAGTAGTCCTCTAACAGAATTGCTTTGGGCCTCTTAGATTTTTGAAGAAATTAGTCATTTATCCCAACTCATCTCATCCATCACTATTGGTCCATCCAACTGCGCAGGAGGCTTACATCTGATGGCTACTTGTAGTGTACTGCACTTGTTGTGAGTACTGGCCTTGGCGCTGGGCTTGGAGCTGGGTGAGAGCTTGGGAGAAGTAGTTGTTCAGAGAGGTTTGCTGGGACTTGAAGGTGGATAGATCTTGTTGGAATGAGGAGAGGTTGAGTTCTAACTGGCCGACTCTTGGCTCCAAATGAGCAGGTGCCTGCCCACTTGGAGCGTACTGAGTGGGAGCCTGGCTACTTGTGGCTGAAGAATGACTTGTAGCTATATAGCTCGAAGAGGTCTGAGCAGGGATCTGTGTGGGAACAGCGGTTTGGACTGGAGCAGCCGAGCTGACTGGGATTGTAGTTCCCACGAATTGGGGCGAAGGAATGGGGTTAGAGGAAGGAGCTGGATTGATGAAATGGGCTGCGATCTCTTGGTATCTTAGGAATCCTTGCATGAGAGTTTCGAGTTGAATGAAGTTCTGATCTTTTTGGTTATAGATCCTTTCGTGCGAATCTAGCTCATGCAAAGATCTGTAGAATATGATTAACACAAATTTTGAAGTTTTTGAGGTATAAAATTGGTATTTTTCTATGGTAATTCTGAATTGGTTGGAGAAATAATTACAAAGTTAAGACTAATCGAAAGATCTTCAAGTAACTTACGCAGTGACTTCTGCATAATCGCCTTTATCGAGTGCTTTCTTGATACGGTTGAAGACCTCAGTACCGTAATGGATCTGGTCATAAGTCATTTCTGCAAGGGATGCTTCCTCTCTCATTTTGGTTACCTATAAAAACATCATTAAGACCCTCAAATATATTGAAGAAGTACATTTTCGCCTTTGCTTTGGAGGAATTCAATGCAGCTGAGATAGGTAGGCAACTTCTCAGATCTGTATGTGAATCTTTGTTCGAGGACATTGATTCTCTGTTCAGTGCTAGCGTGTAGCTCTGTGAAGGAATGGGCTGGTGGTGGTGGCGCATTTGGAGCAGTGCTTGATGGGGCTGGAGTAGGCGCTGGAGCAGATACTGGGGCAGGAGCTGGTGCTGGGATATGTGTTGGAATAGCAGTTGTGGGTGCTGGAGTTGGAGCAGGGATATTGGTTGGAGTCGCGGTTGTAGGAGCTGGCGGAGGTACTGTTGTACCTGTGCCGGTAGTGGTAGTAGTCGTAGTCTCTGTTGTAGTGGTTTTCATACCAGGCATGCCTGGCATACCTGGAAATGAGGATCCAGGTCCAAAAGCATTTCCGAGATCTGCCATAGCTCCATGTAGATCAGCCTTCATATTATTGAAGTCATCTTGAAATCCTGCATTCATATCATGGATATCGCTGTGCATTCCTCCAGGAAATCCTCCCATATTCATATGGATACTAGTACTAGCTCCAAAATCATCTTTATTATCATCCTAAAAATCGACCGAAAACAACTTACACTAGCTCCAAATCCTGGCTGTCTCTTCTGTCTTCTTTCTTCATCCCTTTGCCTTCTCTCTTCATCTCTCTGCCTCCTTTCCTCATCACGTTGCCTTCTCTGCTCTTCCCTGTCTCTTTGGGCATCTTCCCGCTGTCTTTTCATTTCTTCACGTTGCTCTTTCATTCTGCGCTGGGTCTCTTCTCTCTGTTTCTTCATTTCTTCACGCTGTTCCTCCATTTGCCTTCTCATATCTGATCTATGGGACATTTTATTATTTTTATTATTGGAAAGATTGCAGAAGGGGCCTTTAAAAGGGGTTTTGGGGTTTTGGGGTTTTGGGG